CTATGGCATCATCATTCTCCACAGCATTAACAATGTCTTTGGAGACCTTCGCCTGCATCCAATAGAAAGACGAATGCTTATCACCTCGAGCCATAACCATGGAACCCCTTGTGAGTTTCCATTTACGTCCTCCAAATAGACTATAGAAACCCTCATCATCAAGTTTCCCTGTAGAGATCAAGTTCAACCGAATATCTGGGACATGCTTAACTCCCTTAAGCAAAACTCTAGTACCAACACTAGTCTCCAAGCAAATATCACCAATGCCAGCAACCTTGGCCACTGCATCATTACCCATCTTCACAGAACCATAACTACCTAGAGTATAGGTAGTGAACAAACCCCGCTGCGATGTAGCATGAGTAGTAGCTCCACAATCAACAACCCAACTGGTGTCCTGGCATGCAACATTAATGGCATCACTCTCAAGAAGAATAAGAAACTGATCTTCGGTTACAGTCACCCGATCTTCACCATCTTCTTGCTTCTTTCCAAGTTTGCTGTCATTTTTCAACTTCCAGCAATCCTTCTTCATGTGCCCTTTTTTATGACAATAATGGCACTCTAAGTTAGCAAATTTGTTAGATTTGCTCCTGCTCCTGTTCTTGTTATTTCTGGGCTCTCTATATGAACTCCTCCCCCTTGACTCAGAAATCTTTACATCTGAAAGAAAGAAACTAGGACTAGACTTCCTCCTTACTTCCTCATTCAAGACACTGTTCTTCACTAAGTCCATCGAAATCACACCATTCGACGCGGAGTTARAAAGAGACATCGTGAARACCTCCCAAGAATCTGGTAATGTACKAAGAAGCCACAAACCGTGAATCTCATCCTCAAACTTAATTCCCATGTCAGATAATTTATTGAGCAGTCCATGAAACGCATTCAAGTGATCCACCATCGGAGTTCCCTCCTTGTACCTCAGCTCAATCATTTTCTTGATCATGTACATCTTATTATTCCCGGTCTTCCAAGCAAACAACTGCTCCAGCTTCTACCACAAAGAACGAGC